GCAGCCAGGCGTGTCTAGGGGGAGTATTTGCTCATTCCCCACTGTGTAGGCCACATTAAGCAACACCTTAACTGGCAACTCCAAAACAGAAGGGTCACCTTGAGCCACTGCTTCTCGGTCAGTGAGTCGCTGTAGTCGACCTCCTTGCGCTGGCGGGAGCCGCGCCCGAACATCTTCTCCTCCTCCTCCTCGCAGGTCAGCCGCTCCACCTCGGCGTCGTCCTTCATGATCCAGGTGGGCAGCTCGTCCTCCTCCATCAGCCGCGGCTTGCGCTTCGGGTTCCGGGCCTCCTCGCGGCGCCGGTCCAGGTCCATCCGCTACGAGACGGGCACACACACGCACGTGAACCCACCACCAGTTACAGGCTGCAACGTCCCGACGAATCGAAAGGGAAATGCAGCTACGATAAGGCAATAAAGCAGCTAACATAAGCAAGTTAAATAACAGGTGCGACTTAATTTGCCTGGTGCAGCAGTCTATGACAAAGACGCTTGTGCCTCTCCCAAAATCATTACAGCAAGAGTAGTACCAGAGTTGCAATTGCCTCTCATTGCCTGTCTCATGGAGAGCACGGCCATTTACAGAAACGATACACAAGCAGATGTAACTGTGTGCAGTTTTACTGCCGGGTAGGAGCGAGAGCACGAGAGCAAGGGGTGGTTTTCATGCCCATCCGTGAGTTCATCCCATGGGCAGTGGGAGGGGGGGAAACGGCATGTCCCGGGTTCTAATGGACAGACTCACCATGAAGTGGTCAAACTCCTCTTCGCTCCTGGCGATCATCTGGTTCACCGTTTCGTCGTCCGGCACCTCGTCCTCCTCCTAGGGTGAGAGGGCATCTTAGTCGAGTGGCAATTTTAGGGGTACTGGACCACACCAGGGGGTAAGGGATCCGTGATTTATAAAAATCTAAACTATACTCAATGAGCAGAACTATAATTTGTGCTGGTGCTGCTAACATACAAAAACGTTCTGCACGTTTTCTTTGAGGACAACTGGTTTTACAGAAAAGGTGCTGTCCCCCCCCTTTTTAAAAAAGAGGCCAATATAAATTATTAAAAGTCACATTTAAATAGAGACATTTCTGAAAACCCGCCTTTAAAGAAGGGGAAAAGGTTAGTAGGGAAATGGAAAAGAGAGCACACGAGTATTAAAAACATTAAGGAGCAATAATCAGTAAGGTGTTAAAGGGTAGAAAGTGTCTGAAACAATTGCAATTTTTAAAGGCACAAGAAACAAAAGGAAAATGAGATCTGCAATTGTTCCGCTTTCAGTTTAAAGAGAGGAGCTTGTCAGCACCAGTCAGAAGCGTAGAGCAGAGAGAGAGAGAGAGAGAGAGAGAGAGAGATGCTAATAAAGCACCTTGAATTGAACTGAATTGAGAGATAAGGAGTGGGGGGGGGCGTGGGTATGGATGTCGTAGTGAGGTCACACCCACCCACACCCCCCCACTGCGCCACACCCCTTGAGCCCCGACCTCGTCCTGCTCCTCATGCTCCAGGATGGCCTGCAGGAAGGCCCGCCGCTCATGGCTGCTGGATTTCTGATCGAACATGCCCGCCTGGATCACCTTCTGGTCCACATTCAGTTTGTACTTAGCGGCGGCCAGGATCTTCTCCTCCACGCTGTTGACCGTGCACAGTCGCAGGACGCGCACCTCGTTCTGCTGGCCGATGCGGTGCGCGCGGTCCTGCGCCTGCAGGTCCTGGAATGGGAACGAGACGGGGGAGGGCATGGGGGGTGGGGGGTAGTTGAGCAGGCCGGCTGCAGGCTTCTACCCCGCCAACCCCCCTCCTTTAAAAGCCTAGAGCTGGCCGCACCCCAGCTATCAACTCAAGCCACATCAGCAACCCTGCACTGGCTCAGGAAGGCAAAGATCGGGGTGCGCAGGAGAACCTGGATCATGGTTTGCGAGTTCCACCACCCGGACCCAGACCTGCAACCTCAGGCCTTGATCTAGGCCACGCCTGGGAAACCTCTGACCCATGATCCACCCAAGAGCCCATCGCAATGCCTGCTGCAATAATGTAGCTTGCTTACAGTTTCACACATCAGGCCGAAATACTGGGGGCGTTTTCTCTCGCCATCGAGCAGGGTGAATACAGAAGCGCACGGTATCTGTGTGAATCTGAGCTCTGCGGAGTGCAGCCCTCATCGCTGACTGAATCAGTCTCAAACCGTGCCCAGGAATCCCGCCGCTAAGCCCCCGCGTCTTGGGAAAGAGGGGTGCTCCCTCTCACCTGGTGGGGGTTCCAGTCGCTGTCGAAAATGATCACGGTGTCTGCGGACTGCAGATTCAGCCCCAGCCCCCCAGCGCGGGTGCTCAGCAGAAACACGAAGTAGGAGGAGTTGGGGTCATTGAACGCCTTGAGCAGCATCCCGCGATCTTCAGCTTTGGTGGTCCCTGGACAGGGCGGGACGAAAGGAGAGCGGAGAAACGGTCAAAAACTAAGATGCCGTTTCCATTTTGAAACGGGTAAGGGAGGCTAGCACGTGAGTGTCAACGTGCAAAAACAGGGATACGGTTGCCAAAAAAAGCCATGCTTCCTTACTCACCGTCCAGCCTGAGGTATTTGAAGTTGCGGTAAGCAAAGTAGTCTTCCATGATGGTCATGAGTGAGGTCATCTGACAGAACAGCAGCACCTTGTGATTGGTTGCCCTCAGCTTCGGGAGGATGCGGTCCAACAGCTCAAACTTACCCGAGGCACGGTACAGGTCAGGCCTGCGCCACAGAGACGGGAGGGGTTTTTACTGACCGCGGGGGAGGACGGGGTGGAGACTGCAGTGAGGATTAGCCCAGGTCAAAGCCCTTGATTACTAGCAAGTCCAGTCATTTCAATACGTGGACAAGGATGACACAGCAAACCCTCTGTTCAACGGGTTTCGGATGGAGTGGACAAAATCTGCTAGAGGAGAACTTTGCCCGTAAAATCAGAAAATCACCAATACCGGACTTTTCTCGCAATATCAGGGCAATGCACAAATAATAATAAAACAAGGTAAAATTAAATACGATGTAGGTTAAGAACTCAGGAATATCAATGGTGCTCTATAGGGGTAGGCCAGGTGCTGACAATGGGCATTTGTTTTTGGTATGCTTTAGCAAAAGTTATAGAGTATATTTATGATATAAAAGACACAGGAATCATTTTCATTGACTGCAACAGTTCAAGTCAAAAGATGCAGAAACCATAAATGGGTAGAATTTTTTTTCTTATATAATAATGTTTGGGCTTGTGATTTAATAGCTATCTGGCAATAATCAAGTATGGAGCTGTGTCAGCATGCGTAGGCTGCAAAGGACTGATTGCATACTGAAAAGAAAGAAAAGTCAGTTGTCTCCACACCTGAAGAAGGCTCCACAGCCGAAACATTGCGTCTCTTTTCTTTTCAGCATGAAATAAACCTTTATCTGTCCATCTGGCATTAATGAACACCCCGTTCTACTGTATTAGTCCATTACACCGAGGGTTTACTGTACTTCTGTTCAGGCCCCTAAATCCATCTTAAAGCAGACCATCAAATGCCAAACTTCCCCGAGCCTCAGGAAGGCTGCAGTTCGAGAGCCCCAAGAGAGCACCTAGCGCATGGGGGTGCTCCGTCACAGTTTGTTGGAAACTGTGAAACAATATGAAAAACTTTTCAGGACAGGAGCACAGGCAAGGAGAAACTTTAAAAAAAAAAAGGCATTTCCACAGCAAGAAGGCCGGTGGGGGCCGTCTGCTGAATCCCGGGAATTTAAGAGCAGGATTCGGGAAGGGGCGAGAGATCGCGTGGGTGGTCCCTCAGCCCACAGCCGACTGAACAGGACGACACTCACCCCTGTACGATGCCTCCCGTAAAGCCCAAGTGCTCTGAAAAGGATTCCTGCAAAACAGAATTTCAGACCTTAAAACATCTCGCAACAACAACAAAAAAAAAAGGGTGAACCTGCGAGCGTGTGGGACCCAGAGCTGAGCCCAACGGGCCTCGCCGGTTCCATTAGCTGCCATCTGGAAAGCACCCTGGGGCGCACGTCCGCTCTCTCCGAGAGGCCATTGGGAACGTCACATTCACACCAGGCTCTAGTTATGGGCTTGGAGCCATTGGATTCAACAGGAAATACTATTCTTCTGAACCTTACCCATGTTCGGTAAACATCAAAACAACTTTTTGAACAGATGAAAAAAGTAAAACCACAACCGAATCCTAACAGCAATTCCCTGCTCAGCTTGTCCTCCTATCGCTGTTCCGCCCGGAAGCCTGAATCAGAAATCCTGTGATTTAACATGATTCAACTGTCGGCCACATACCAAAGCAAAACTGGGTGAGGTAACATCCCAGATTAATCCCATCAGGGTAAGGAACATCTGTGGAATGCGTTTCTTCCTGGGGAGTGTTGTCACAATTAAAAGCTACAATTTTGACAAGAGGCTGCGATGTGGGGTGGGGTGGAGGGAGAGTAAAAGTTTCAAGGCACGGATGTACTCACTAACCCCCATTGCCGACTCCAACCCCCTCTCCCTCGTCCCGACCTCTTTACCTCTCGGGCCAAACCAGAACCCAGCCCCGGCAGACCCGGGCCATGCAGCCCGTTACCTCGATGTGCTGGAACATGTAGGGGTGGTTACAGATCTTCCGCAGCTGCATGATGGTGTTCATCAGTGTCTTCGTGCCGCCTTTGCCCTGCGCAAGAGAGCGAGAGAGGCCGTCAGCGTTCGAGTGGGAGCTGGAGGCGCAGGGGCTGCGCCGGTGGGCGCGCCAGAGCAGGAGACGCAGGGGCCGCCAGCAGGGGTATCAGAGCGGGAGGCGCAGGGGCCGCCACCACGTCGGTGGCAGGGGGGCGGCAGCACTTGCCGAACCGGAGCCATGCCCCGCCGAGGGCAGGCCCACTCGACTAAGGAGAAACCTCCCCCAGCTTCTCACTGGCCCAGAACCTGGAGACATTAAGTTACTCACCAGAAACACCAGAATTTACCAAAGGACTCAGCAGGAAGCGACACTTTCAGCGTGACGCAGTCTAATCCTACAGAAGCTCTGTCAGGTGTAGCTCTGACCGTGCGAGTCTCTTACGGTCTCTCCTCTGTCACCAGTTATATTGGGCACCAAGTGCTGCCCCTCCTACCTTCTTATCCTTCTCCGAGCCGTCTGTGAGCAGCACCCCCTTCGCCTGCATGTGTCTGTACAGCACCCGTTGCAAGGCCGACATGTCGCACTTGATCACGTATTCGACCTGCAACACACGGGCGCAAGGGAAGAAAACAAATCAAAAAGGCACGAGAGCAGGCGAGATCAGACAAGCTGGTATGGTTTAAAAATAGAAGCCTCCGAAAGGATCCCGTCTATCTGCAAGCTTTAGGTTGTAAAAATCCTGGAAAAAATCAGAGCCTGTTCAATGTTGAGCTGATAGGAGTGGAAGCAGGTGGCCACAGTGCAGGCTCCGGCTCTTGCCACAGGGATGTTGCGAAAAGGAGAAACCGACGGAAAAAACACTCCCAGTCCGAGCCCTTTCCTAACAGTTCATGCAACAGGTGACACAGAACTGACACTGGCAAATAATTCACCTTCTCCGGCAGCTGAGCTTCCACCTCTTTCTTGAGCCGGCGGAGCAGGAAGGGCCGGAGAACCTTGTGAAGACGTCGGATGATCAGGATGGTCTCCTCTTCGTTGAGGTCGACCTGGGAGAGACGGGAGCCGGACACCGTGGGGGAAAGATCTTTCAAGAATCCCCCCCACCCCAACCCAATTAATTCCGACTTCCAATCAGGGCTTCCAATACATTCCTCAGCCTAGCGCAGGGAAGGCCTCGCATTCTGCAAGCGTGCCCTCGGCACATGGTGAAAGCATGTAATCAATGGGGTGGGATCACGGCACAAGATCATGCTCGCACAATCACAGGTCTCACTAGCACAGACTCCTGGGATACATCCCTTAGCTCTGGGAAAGGGAAGGGAGCAGCGAGGTGGGCAGGGGCACTACCTTCTCTCCGGTCATGGCGAAGGGGGCGTTGAACCACTGCTCGAAGGTGCTGCAGCTCTTGAAGATGGTGGGCAGCAGGAAGTTGAGCAGTGCCCAGAGCTCGGGCAGCTTGTTCTGCAGGGGGGTGCCGGTCAGCAGGAGGCGTCGGGGGGCCAGGTAGTGAGTGTTGAGGACCTGGGTCAGCTTGCAGTGGTGGTTCTTCATGCGGTGACCCTCATCCACGATCATGTACTTCCAGCGGATCTGTGGGTTGGGCAGTGGCAGCAACAAGCTAAGGAACGCCTGAGGCAAACAGCTTTAAACAGCTAAAACCCACTTGTCAACTGACCAGACCGGATCTACTTTATTCTAAATCATTCGGGAGAAGTCAAAATCATGCTCCCATCAGAAAAACATCCATTTTGGTTATTAATTTTTAAATTAATATTATTCACTTTTTCAGCATTTATTGCAAACGTGCAGAGTTTTTGTCCATTTTGTACAATTGCAACACCCTTGGAAAATATTCCTAGAGGTCGCTTACATAATGAAACGCTACGTAAAGAGCCAGAATCGCACACAAATCCTCTTGGCGTGCAGTAAGAATAGGGAAAAGCCAACTGGACGACCAACCTTGGCGAGAACCTGCTTGTCTTTGATGATGTACTCGTAAGTGGTCAGCAGGACGTTGAATTTGCCGCTGCGGAGCTGAGGGACGAAAGCACGTCTTGCTGCTGGGGAACCCTGAGATGAAGAAAAAAAAAACACTGTTTGCACCCGGTTCACTGCAGCCGGACCTCAGAAAACAAACTCGTCTCTCGAGAGAAGAGCTCCTCACCTTGTACGAGACTTTCACGACCGAGGGAGCCCACTTGTCAAACTCGTACACCCAATTGGAGAGAGTCCTGCAAGGCAAGCAAGCGACTCAGAGCTGGTTATCAATAAGCACAGGCAGGGCTTGGAAGTCACTGACCACGTGCTGGCATCCAGTCACCAGCAACCGGGAATCAAAACCTTACAAGACATTTTCACTGGACCAAAAGATGCAGCACCGATACATACGTGCATTTTCAAGACAAAGTGTCAAACACACTACCTCAAAATTCCCAGGGGCTTTTTTATGCTGAATTTCTGCACTGAACAAGACTGAACCGATGACAAGTCAGGTCGCACTCGGGCCCTTGGGTGTTGGGTGCTGTACTCACGATAGAGGTACTATGATGAGGAAGGGCCCGTTGATGCGCTTGTACTCCATGAGGTATGTGATTAAAGCGATGGTCTGGATGGTCTTCCCCAGGCCCATCTCATCGGCTAGGATGCCATTCAGGTTATTGTTGTACAGAGACACCAGCCACTCCAGCCCCTTGATCTGAAAGGCAAACAAGAGGTACCAGTTTAGGCCAAAAGACCACCAAGACGTGGCTGCTCCAATCCCACACTTCCATCGCCGGACAACTACCACTATCAAGAGGCCCGCGCCTCTTCACTTAAAAGGCCAAGTGACAAGTCGTGATTACTCCCCTTTGGAAACTGGCAAGCCTGGGGAAGATGTGAAAGTCGCCCAAGAGATTCTGGCACTTGTGTGAGAAGCCGAGGGTGGGGGTTTTAGTCCTGAGGGGTCCACAGTCGAGCAGGTCTTTTAAAACCAGCAGCACCTCAAGAGCTGTTAAGCTGCTCCAATTAGGCCAGCAATTAGATCAACTGGCTGGAACAAAATGATACCGAGACAGGCAGTCCTCCAGGACAGGAGCTGGGCATGCCTGCCTTAAATCCTTCAGCTCATTTGATCGTTTAGGTCCTCCATTTAACTTAAGTTTCATGAATGTTTATTGCAACCGTTTCTTGCGGCCAAGCCAGGCTCCCTTCATGCTGTGCGCACTGTGAAATTTTCAAACCTTACCCTCAAACCTGTTTTGCCCCACTCGGGTTTTTCACAGCTGCCGTTAATTGAAAGCTGCCAACCGTGTTTAAGATCCTGCCAAACCCACTGGGCTCCTGCTGTCAGAGCAGCTGCTCTTGAAAGCTGACGGGACAGATGGTGACAGAAGAATGCCGCTCTGCTGCAGGAAAATTCAGTCAAGACTCTTTCGGAACAGGGACCCCAAGACACCCCACCCAGCTCCCCGCACAGCTCTTGCAGACACTGTGCTCAATCCAGCGACCTCTAAACAACCTGTTCGTCATCAACTAGGAGGATGTGTCCGGACGACAAATCTGGAAGTCATAAAATTTCTGCTGTGCTACCTCGTGGTTTTATACAGCTTTCCTCCTACTTATTGTGGTTGGTCTGCACAGCAGATGAGCGCAACTCTGGTCCACAAGGGCAGCTGTCCAGCAGATGTACGCCTTACTCAGAGGGCACGCTGAAGAGCAGAAATACTACTTGCCTAACAGCCATCGACAAACTGCTTTGTCGATGGCTGCACACACAGCTGCACACACGCAGCTGTGCCCTCAGAACACCGGCAGGCCCGGATGCCTACAGCCCGAGAGGTCGAGGAGGCCGGGAGATAAGGAGAGACGAAAGGCCCGGAGGTTGTGTAGACAGCCATGTGTGTAAGGAGCTGCTGGTCCGCGTCGCTAAGAATCCAATCACGCAGCAGAAGAGGACCAGGAAAAGAGCACCAAGCTGACTGGCACGGCAGTCTCGTTCACCTGGTACTGCTTGAGCTGGCCGTTGACCAGCAGCGAGGACTGCTTCTCCACCTTCTCGGTGACGGCGTGGGCCACCGAGTAATACGACTGCAGCCCTCTGGCGAAGTTCTGGCCGCCGTACTCGTCGTCCACGTCCTGCTTGGCGTGCCTGAAAAGAGCCAGGTGTAACAGGATTATTTTTACCCGCTGCCCCGAAAACCGGGTGGGAGCCGGTCACCGTTGTTGGCCTGCCCCATTTCCAGGCTTGTACCTGTCCCCCCCCAACCTCTGGTGCTACTGGACGCCAGCAGCACGGCCGAGCGAGATGTTAAAATGGTTTAAGACCAACTCTGTGCACCTCCAGAGCCACAGTGGCTGAATACTTGAAAACTGTTGTAATTAAGACCAATTCAACCACCACAAGAGCTCATTATGAATGAAAACCAGGATCACTGACCAGCACCGTCTTGGTTCCTTAATTACTGGAAAAAGCCTAATTAGTAAGCTTGTTACCAACAAAGTATGTTTACATTTAAACTCCTAGGAGCAGACTTGGACACCCTCCTGTGCTCAGGGGACAGCCTGACATTCCGAAACATGAAGTCACTTTTAGTAGTGTTTTTTCCAGGATGTAAACAAAATGGCAAACTTAATCTTAATTTTATTTTTTTACCGGGTACTAAAATATAGACCAATCATGTTGCGACTTAAACGGAGGACAGCACCGTCCCACCCAAGAAACTGAACCCAAACCCTCTGGTCTGGAGTCCAGAGCTCCCCCCACTGCCCCATGCTGTTGGCTCATCGCTCCCCTATCAGAAAGCCACTGAGGTCCGTACTCGATGATGTGCCTGGCGTCCACTTCAGAAACATCCTCGCTGTCTGGGTCTGGGATCTTCTTCTTCTCCTCCACCGGGGCCTGTGTGGGCTGCGGCTGCTGCTGCTGCTGCTCCTCCTCATCCTCCTGTAGGGGGCGACAGCACACGTGAGCCAAACCATGGAGAGCTTGCTTGAGAAACACCTTTCATGTGCAATTACAATCTCAGCCCCAGAGCTTGCATTCAGAAATCCAGAGCTTTAATCACACGGCCGAAAACCTTCTGTTCTCCTATATACCTGCACACCTCGAACCTTCCAGATCAAGACCTGGCACTGAAGTGTTAATCCATTATGACAAGAGCATGGTGATGAGCCATCAGCTCTTACTTACTTTGTCCCAGATGGGAAATTAGCTTTGCAGGCAGGTACAAGACAACACATGTAACACAACATGAACTCATTAACAAAAAACAAACATGCATGATGAAAATGGGAAAAAAAAATTATGAAGTAAAATATACAAGCAACTGTCCTAGTTAAACTGGTGAACAGTTGTGGGAATAAAAGATAATTTAGTTCTATTGCAGTTGAATCTGGGGAGTCTAAATCGATGCCCAGATGGAAGGAGCTCAGATTCAGTGTTCAAGGGGCAGTCATGACAGTCAGTGATTATATTGGTCTTCTGTACTGTTTGGTGTACATTCGATTTCTGACTGACAGCTGTAGCGGTTGTCCACCAATAATTTTGCTGGCAGAAAGGCCCTTATGGAAAACGGTGTAGCCAGGCTTCATCTCTCTAGTGTGCTGACAGCTACCTTTCATTACTGTCCTTTTAATTAGCTCCCATTTTCCTTATTCCCACCCCACGTCTAGAGCTGAATTTTTGGTCCGTTTCTCCATTCGTCATTTTAAAACCAACACCTACAAGCGACAGCAGCAAAGTGCAATTTATTTCGCATGGGGATTTGGACTGCAAGTACAGCTAGCTGACAGACCATTTCCAATCACATTAAAATGTCCAATTAAACTAATTACACACTTTGTGAGACCCAGAAGGACGCGTCTCTCACAGTAACAGATACCCTCCCCCCCCCACACACAAACAGCTTTGTTGAAATCTGCAAACCGACCAAGCTTTTCAGCTCGTGCATTCTCGGGGTGCCCACTGGAACCTTTCAATGGGCCTTCAGAAGCTGCCCTCTAAAGCAGCATCTACCAGGAAGGAGGTGAACAGAAAAAGAAGATGAGTGGCGATCTGGCGTCTTACTGAGTTCCTGATGAATGACTCGCATACCTCCTCCTCCTCCGAGTCACTGTCTTCGCTGTCCGACCTGGGAGCCACTTCATAGCTGTGAACAAGCGCCAGAGAAACAGCCCGTCAGTGGTCAAGCAATCACACCTTCAAACCGGAGGACAGGAACACCACAGGTCCTCCCAGGTCAGCAGAAAACCTCTTCATCCCAAACGCTGCATTCCTCCCCCAGGCAGGAGGGAGGGACTGAATTTGCTCTCCTCTCGCTTCCCTACAGGAAACGAATGCCCCATCGCACACACTGACAGTGTTCACACTCGTGCTGTTTGTGAGGTGCAATAATATTGAGCAGTTTAAAATGACGATTTTCTGCTCGCGGTGTGGCAGTGGCTGTCGAACCCTGATCATTTCTTGGCACTAAAGCTCTGCGCTCCGAAATCAGACGGTTTCCTGTGACTCTTCCCCACTGTGCCGCTTCAGTAATTATCACCCACGTCTGCAACCGCTGATCGTTAAGGCTGCCATTTAAACCGGTTCCCCTTGTCACTCACCGCTCAGTCTTGGAGTTCGCTTTGGTCTCAGAGGTTGCTCTGCTCGTGTTGCTAACTCTGGTTTTGACCCTCGCCTGCTCTGGATTTTTGACTCGTGTTTTGCCCCGGGCTAGGTCCAGACCTCGATCTCAGGCGTTGGTGCTTGTTTCCCTGGGACTGTTTACTTTCTACCTCCTGCCTTAGAATCCCTTCGCAATCTCCACACTATGTTTTATGGCCTGTAAATTTCCGGATGGAGAGCAATGCTGATACTTTGGAACAAGCATCATGTTCTTTAATCACCTGGGTCCTGTGACAGCCAGCTCTGTTTTGACTGCATTATGCCAATTTAGCTGCGAGTCTGAAGTTCTGCTGGTTACAAATCCTTATTACTAAAGCAATCCCCTACAAAATAAGAACATAAAAAGGAGGCAAACGAGAGGAGGCCTTCTGGTCCATGTAGCCTAGTTAAACCAAATATCTCATCCTGCTGTTTCTTGAAGGAAACCAAAGTATTGGTTTCAACCACAAGGCTGAATAGCTTGTTCCAGGCACCCACCACCTTTTTGAAAGGAGGTGCCTCCTGTCCTTGACTTTAAATGCCCTTCCATGTGTCCTACAGGTTGTGATTCACTGTTGATTCTGAAAAAGTCTGCTGGGGTGACAGTGTCAAGGCCTTGGAGGATTCTGAATACATGCACCGAGTCCCCCAGTGGTCCTCTGTTCACGATTAAAAAGCTTCAGTCCCTTCAGCTTGTCATGAACCTCTGTACTGATAAAGCAACCAGTCTGCTGTCATGAGGTGCTGAAGTACGAAATACGAACTGATCTGTGTGATCGCAGGCACAGCCCAGCTGAGGAGCACAAGCTGGATCTCCCCATCACCCTCCTGAGCTCTGAAACCGCTGTTGCAATCCCACACACCACTGAACCTTCTCAAGGCCCGCTGGAAACAGGGCGAGAAGGAGGAAGACTCCAGAACCTTGTGGAGTAACTGCCCCTGCCACTGGTCAAGGGCTGGGGTTCCCAATATTCTGGCCATCGAACCCGCCTGCTGGGAGACGGAGAAGGAACCAAAACGAAGGAAGGGGGCGACTCACCCCGGGTTCATCTCCAGCCAGGCCTCCAGCTGGCCTGCCTTGGGGGCGTCCACCCCAGTCAGAATCTTGCCGCTGTCCACGTGGATCACCTTCACGGGCAGGTCACTCATCTGGCTGGTCTCGTCCAGGGGCTGGGGAAGGGGGACAAGGGGCCGGAGCGGTCAGCCACCAGCAAGCAATTCGGAATTGTAAAAGAACCCAGGACTCCTCATCTACACATATGGCCTGTGCATCCATCTGTTCTCCAAAAGCCAGTTATTCCCGGTGAAGGTCATGGCCATCTCGAGCCTTTTCTGGAAGCACAGGGCACAGGGTGGGAACTTCTGCCTTGATACTGCAGCCCACCGAGGCACGGCTTAGAAATGCCAATTAACCTAACCAGCCGGGCTTCGGACAGCGGGAGCAGCCCAGGTCAGAATCGAACCCAGGACCGAACAGCCGAGGAATGCAGCACTGGAATGCCGGGCTTTCCGGGGCTGTAGTCCTGCTGTGCTCCCAGGATAGTCTCCGGGTTTGCCGTGACCCTCTCTGGGAAGAAAACGGCTTTCCAGCGATGGAGGAATGGAAGCTTGGCGTTGGCCGAGCTCAAAGGTGAACATTGCCCCCCCCACCGACACGAGCTCCACCTGCACCCCACACACTCACCTCCCCGTCAGGACCGAGAGCCGGGGTTTGACCTTCAGGATTCTCCAGCTTCTGGACGGGAGGAAAAAGGGGAAAACCTTCAGACCTTCGGCCCGTCAGCCAGTGGTTCCATTCCCGAGCAAAAAGATGCCGAAAAACGCAGAAGTGCATTCGTATCGCTGACATGTTGAAGAAATTACATTTTTTTCCCCCTGTGATAGCCTCTAACCTCGATATACAAAAGGAAAAAAGATTTCACAAATAGCCAGAGAAGTGCAAGAGTCGGAAAATAATATTTGACGCTACTGTGCCCCCTGCCAGACCCACACACAGCTGACATGACAGGGGATCCACAGTGGGACAGGCCGAAACAGAAATGGTGTTGCCAGCGGGCACACTGGCTGGCCCCGGGGAGACCACGCACCTTCTTCTTTTTCTTCTTCTTCTTCTCCTTGAGGGCCTGGGCGGCCTTGTGCGCGCGCACCAGCTCCGTCAGGTTGGCCACGTACTCGTCCGTCTGCTGCAGCAGGTAGGCCAGGCGCTTGTCCTTCTTCTGGTCGATCAGCTTCCTGTAGCCCTCCTCATCCTCAGCCTGGAGGGGGACAAGGTCTGGATTTATACAGCGGACAGCACTGGGACAGCACTTCGATGCGTGATACAACCGCCGCCATTTAGGGAACCTATCTGAAGAGCTGCTTCCTATTGGATAAAAGACTAAACTGCACCTGGAACCACTGTGCGCCAACCAATTTCATGATGGTGGGTACAGACATCAGCAGCGACCCTCCACCCCCCCCCCCTGCAGACCCCAGAGCTAAAATAATCTTTCAATCTAAAACCCTTATTCCCCACTGAAGATCCCATGAACAGGCAAAGGTCAAAGTTCACTTATTCTGACAACTGTAATTAACTCATCAGATTACGGCCTTGGCATTAGTATTGCCTAATCAGGTCTGCATTTCTTGAGGTCTTGCATGAAGGGAAAGACAATAGCTTGTATTTCAGGACTTGAGTCACCTGCCCCCTAGCCTGAACTGGAAATCCTCCCGACATACACTGCATCTCTCCGTATCCTAGGACGGATCGGATTCCCCTTTCTAACACCACACGCCAGCGCACAATACAGCTCCAGCAGTCAATTCCACCCCACGGACTAATTGCTGGTAATTAGAAACAGCTGACAGCAATGAACCAACACTACTTTTGGCAGTGTTCCACTGGCGGAGCAGTGGCTCTGTGGCTAAGGATCTCCGCCTGTGGCTGGAAGGTTGCCGGTTCAAATCCCGCAGCCGGCAGAGGAATCCTACTCTATTGGGCCCCTGAGCAAGGCTCTTAACCCTAACTACTCCAGGGGCGCCGTACAGTGGCTGACCCTGTGCTCTGACCCCAAGCTTCTCTCCCTGTCTGTGTGTCTCATGGAGAGCAAGCTGGGGTATGCGAGAAGACAAATTCCCAATGCAAGAAATTGTATACGGCCGATGAAGTGATCTTATCTTTTCAGCAGCTCACTCTGGACGTGCTCTACAATCTGTGCCCGAGCAATCGTCCCGCCCCCCCCCGCTCACCATCAGCCGGCGCATGCGCTCCTTCTCGATGCGCTCGTTCTCCTTCTTCTGCTCGCGCTCCGTGTTGGCGTGGTACGTGGCCACGGCCTTGGTGAGCTTCTGGATCTTGGCGGTGACGGAGCGGTGGTACTCCTTGAAGTCCTTGGCGTGCTGGAGGATGCTGTTGAGGTATTCCTGTAAACGGGGGGGGGACAGAGAACACACGTTTAATATTACAGAACCTTTCAAACAGAGGGAGGGGGGAGGAGGAAACAAGGGGTGATCGAGGTATCGGGACATTCGGAGTCCTGTAGGGCCTCGACCTTCACGAGGGAACAGTCACAAATAGGCAAAGATTCCCATAACCAAGCCCACTCCTATAGCATCTCATAATGTACTACAGTATAGGGTATGTACAGTTAAAAGGCAAATGACCTTCCCTTATATGGAGATTAAAATACTAATGCATTTAAAGAATTTAGATTTGAGCAATCAAGTGGAATAAGCACTCCTCTGTGTCCTCTCTCTCTCCTCTCTCTGCCTCTGTGATTAACACGCCCGTCTCCAGCCCGTCACCCCCCACCCTGCTGACACAGAACCTGGAGGGTTTGCTCCAATGCAGAAACAAGACCACGCCGAGATGTGGATGCTGGGTCCTTGGGCAGGAGGCGGGGAGAGGCTCACCCACAAGCTCGATTTGCCTCCCGATCCTGATCTTTTGCTCCACTACCTTGAAAGCTGCGGAGAGCAACCTGCAGCTCAGTTTCACCCCGTTCTGCTCTTCTTCCATACGAGACCCCGTCGGCCAGCTCGAATCGCGAACAAGCGAATTTGCAAAATGTCAAACGTGCAGATGTCCAGACCCTACTGTTATTTCCCCAACACAAAAGGACTGCATAGGTGATGTGGCGTTAGCTGGGCTAAAACAGTGTGGCATGAACTGTTAAAGAGGCTCCCTAGCAATTAACCAAATCCCAGGATCTCAAGGAGCTGCAACACCCAGACTGAGCTGCTGTCGTTGCTGTAAAGCCAATCCAAGACACTGGATGGACCAATTGTTTGCCTATTTGTGGTTTCCAGGTAGGGCTGCCTGGAGTTTCTGCCTCACAGCAGTGTAGGGGCCCTGGGCTCAACTCCTGAGGTGCTGTCTGTGTGGAGTTTGCATGTTGCTCCCCCGTGACCCTGAACTGGACCAAGAGGTTAGAAAACAGATGGACGGTGGAAGCAGCAGGACTGGGCAAGGCCTCCGCGGGGCCCAGTGGCGGCAGTTACCTGGTGCTTCTGCCTGCGCTTGCGCTCCTGCTCGATCTTCTGCTGCTTCTCCAGCTTCTCGGTGATGCGGGCCTCGCGCAGGGACTGCCGCTTGCTCCTCTTGTAGGCCTTGGCATTGAGCGCCGTCTCCAGGGCCGTGTCCCGGCGCATGCACACCACCACCTCTTGGCGTAACTAGAGGACCATGGGAAGGGCAGGGGGAGAAAGGTCATGTCAAGGCCGTGGTCTTTGCTCTCCGCTTTTCAAAAGCTTCAATGTCTGATGCGTGAGCAAAACGAGGGCGGTGGAGGGGGAATGACTTGTTGGAAAAACCTCTTGTGTGTTAATAAAATGTCTCATTCTCTGCTGCTTCTAGGCACCAGACAAGAGGGGTTACTGGGTCTTGCAAAGGTTAAAGGAAGTATGTAAAATAAATAGGTGAATTATTTTCAGTCGTAAGCTTCCAAGTCCCCGTAACTATATATATATATCTTATACTCAGCCTTAAAACTCTAGGGGGACTTTTAATTCATTCTTATTTTTCAGATCCACTAATACCCGTTTCCTTCTGATGCTGCAGATCACAACCAGGGTCTGCCGCTAGCCTGTCAGAATCTGTGGGCACTGCCCAGTCTCTATCGCACCTGTCTCTGGAAGTTCAGCAGTCTCAGTGCTTTGAGCTCAATATTGGCTTTGGTCCGGAGGTCCCCAGCTAGTGAGCCTGGGAGGTTCTCAAGCTCCTGTATGCGATGGGCGATGCGAGCCTGCAATCTGAAAGGAGGAAAGAGGATCAGTGACAGCCAGGTGGCTCCTCCTTATACCAGGCAACTAAAAGCAAAAACTAATTAAACTACAAAACGGCAGCACACGAGTTCCATTCTCAGGTTCAGACAGGTTTGCAGGACTCCTTATATCCAGTGGAGATTCAGACCAGTTATATTGGTTCAGTTAAGGTTTAATTGAACAACTCTAACCCCTCTGATTTAAAGGGGAACTGCAGTTCTCAGACTTGTATTAAAGTAACAATATAAATTCATCGACGTTATAGAAAAAATGTACATGTACTTTCGAATTAAGCACAAAATCGTGAACTTTTGAGTAAGCACTGCAAGTCACCAGGTTGTCACAAACTTGCACCCGAGTTCCGACGAGTTGCCGTGTGACGCGGCCCTTCCTGCTCACTAGTCTCCGGAATGACTGATGTAATGGGACATACGAGCGAATAAGTAGGGGTTGTGCAGCAGCCATTTCACTGCAGACATGTACCAATGTGAGCTGAGCACAATGCATCTCTTTTCTTTTCAGCACGGAATAAATCTTTACTTGTTCCTTTGCACCCTATCCTACTTGGACAAATAAGTGTCAGCAAAACTATCTTGAAATCGAAAGCAATATTTCC